TTCAACATCTTGAAAAGAATGAATTAATAATGAAGTTTTAACACCTATTCAAGGAAAATGGCTGAGTGTATACATTAACTGGAAGTACATTAACCTGGAGTGAATTGCCCACGGTATGTGGAATGCAGGATGTGTTGCTGAGATGAAGGGTAATAACCCCAACTGACTCATCTAGCCCACGTTTGCCTGAGTGATTCTGTATTCTGTTATACTTGATAACAATCAGTGAACTGCCATGTTGATATACTACATGGCTAATAGTTATAGTATTAGGAACAAACCAAAATATGTTCTGTGACATCAAAAACATCGGCAAATTATAAAATAATCTCATATCAAGAGTGACAGCCAGTCGAAAATTGGAAAAATTAATGTTGTTATATATAATATTTAACGCAAGAGTTTCATGCTGATGTCAAATCCCTATTGATAATTTCTGCGTGGCTGTCTGATTATTCACACTGAATCCACCTGTTAGAATGTGAAAAAATGGATGGCAGAGAGCAGGAGCGGCAGCGGAGAAGTGAAACACCATTATTTCATAACGGAATGCTTAACATAATGGAGGCATTGCAATTTCACCCGATGGGTCAGGAGTTAAGCACGTAAAGTCACATTACCCATCCCACTCCGCTTATGCACAATAAATCTACTGTACTTTCACAAACATTTCCACCTATCGTGTAAGGAATTAACAAGTACGGAAATTCAGTATTCGGATATTTATTACCCTTAAAGAGGGAATTCCCTTTTTAGAATTTCCTTTTCCAGCAACCGCGGGAACAATGTTTCTGTTTCTGATCCTGCGGCTACAGTGGTTAATATTGTAATAAATTACTTACTTCATTCGGAAAACTGGCTTGTTGGTTCTGGTGTAACTCTGGCATGTTTCGGTTAAGATCGGTAATTCATTTAAATATTAGTCCACAGTCTTCTCCGTCCGTCCAAATGCAGTACACTGTGCTTGTATTTACGGATTCTTCCTTTCCATTTACTGAAATAAAATCACGACGAATTTGAAATCGTGCTGCGAGGAGTGGGTTGGATTAAGTCTCTGGACACAAATCCACATGTTTGCAGCGGCACCTATTGCACGGTTTGCTAGACCGCGGGCACAAACCTAAATCTCAGCAATCCGCAAATAGCACGAATCCCTTATTCCTAACCCTCTTTAGACAGTATTTGACTGGAAAAGCACGCCCAGTCCCTTTGCGTACAGTTTAGGAGTCTCACTGGTCGGATTGGCGTAAATTTGTTCCTTCTACATTGGTTTTCTTTACCTGTGTAAATTTATTAAACGGACAGCGCCGGGAAAATTGGGGAAAATACTCCGTTTTCCACGTGCACTGTACTGAACAGCGTATAAACAACGTGCGCTGCAGGATACAGCTCAGACAGCCCATGTGAAAGGGAGCCATCGGCGATAAAGCGCATTCTAATCGAACTTTGGGTGTATTATTATTTGTTTTTATTACTTTCTCACAGTGGGGCAGTAGACGGAGTGTTTGTAAACATAAAATTAAGGCGACATATATGTAAAGTTAAAGCTATAGAAAGCACAGAAATACGGAATCACATCATAATGTCAAAAACATACCAAATACTACGGCATGACGACATTAACTAATTCTAAGATGACACACTGTAGGCTACACCTATTTTATTCAGCTATAGTGACTGTATTTATAGCAAAAAGCCAAAAAACGGAATATTTTGAACAGTGTTATCAGAATCAATAACCTCTGTGTTGCCGCTGATTTGAAATAAGTAGGGTACTATTTGGGAAATACCCTGCAGTATAGTAACTAGGCAAACTGGATAAATCGAGGATAACCATTAAAACTTGCAACATCTCTCTCAAAACCCGCTTACAGTACTCTAGTGTGGCACTGATATGTAGCCTATACGTATCTTTTTCTTGAATTTCCAGGTTGATTCCTGCACCGTCACTTTCAATGTAAATACGCCACAAACATTCAGTTACAAAACGTATCACATTGATTTTATATGGTTTTTGCTTTCATTTTGCGTTTCCTGTTCTTAAAATTTTATATCTAAAATCACAGCTAATTACAGTAGACATGCAATATTGATAGCAGTAGGCTTTTTGGTATTAAGTGTTATAAATGTTACAACATTATGCATAACGATGGAATAGCATTAAAAGGCAAACATACCTAAATATTAAACTTCACCAAATAACTGGAAAAATGTCAGATAGAGCAAAACCACTATTATAGATATTACTATAGGCCTACAATTGATTAATAATTTTACTTGTATTTATTATTTGCGTATACGCCTGTATATAGGTGTATTACTTTGTTTTTATAAGCTTTTTGTAACTTCGTCTCAGCACAAGGACTGAATAATTGTACCGCCTTCACAGTTTCAGAGTAACACTGGAAAGAGGTTAAATGTGCTACTGCAGGGAATAATGGACGGCGGGTTTTTTATTTGGGTTGTAAGAATCACGAACGCCAGGTTGCGTTAAAATGGATTATTTCATGGCTTTGCGTTTCTTAACAGCTCAACCTGCAGTTACAATAATATTAATATTATTATTAATAATAATAATAGTTTTCAATTTCATTGTCTGAACGTCCTGTGCCGTCTGCTACCGATTCCTTTTGCACAGAGCAAAAGTAGACCAGGCTAAAAATACACCAGAGCCGCTGTGGAGGGAAAAATGAGGCTCCGTCTGCGGGCTCCAGCGGCGGGGAGCTCATCACCGGCAGCTGCAGAGCAGCGGGTGCCTGCGGTGTCAGCGGACGCCCTCCCTCGCAGATACGGGCCGCGCGGCGTGACGGGGTTGCGCCAGACAGCTTGTTTTGTAAGGCTTTACAAGCGGGGCGGGGGCGGTCCGAAACCAAGGGGCTCCTCTTTCCTTGCACGAAGTCCCGTACTCGGAAACCGAAATCGCATGCGTCGCTTTTCCCTGCGATACCGATCAACCTTTCAGCTCATGCTTTGCAGATTCCTCGCTTTTTCGCGTAGGCTATAAAAGAACTTTATCAGCAAATACACGGCGCGTGTACGCCAGAATAGCAACATCTGTAACACAAGTCAAATAAATTTCCACCTAAGCAGAACAGGAAGATAAATTAACACACAAACGACGCGTGAAATGAGTAATAAAAGACACTTAAGAATTAATGGCATGGATTAGGTCATGACATAGCACACATTGGGGACAACTGGAAGATGACAGGGAAGAATTTGATTACATAATGGACGGGTCGCCTAAAAGCCGGTGAAGGCTCAAGACCCTCAAACAATAAGAATAATAGAATACAACATCATAATGGCAGTACCCCATTAACACCAACTTTAACATTGCTCTTTGCCATTTGTGTTACATTCTTTCACCATTTCTTTTTATTCATCCGTTTTCCTTTCATACTTTGGTCCAAATGTGAATCGGATATGGATGTCATTGATTTCGGCTTATAGGATGCCAACGCTGTGCTCCGAGGCGCATAAGATTTCAGCAAAACCATAAGTGCAAAGTACCATATATACATTGGGCTTTTGTAGCTTTGTCAATGTATCTGTTATGAAATATTTTAGATGTCTTACTCGATTCAACACCCGCCTACCTATTACTAAGAAGGCTGGATGAAGTTACACAGATTTAGATAGTCTTATGTTTCTTTACAGATCAACACATAGTAGTTCTCCATTATAGGAAGAGTAACAGACTCCAAAGAATGGGAATATCTTTTCAACTTTTCTGGAAAAATACCAAAACCCCACGGACGCCCATGTCCCTCTCCGGCTTGTCTTAGGTGGTGGGTCCTGATGGCAGAAAAGTTGTGCAAACGCTGTAAACTAGACGATGCTGCCAACATTTAAATGATTTTCTTTTGCTGGTCAACGTGCCACTCCATGACGTGACAGTTAGTGTTACGTGGCATTATACATGTAGTTGGTTAATAATAATAATAATAATAATAATAGGTATTATTGAGTTGTTGTTATTATTGTTATTATTGTTGTAATTACTATTATTAGTGTTGTTGTTATTAAGCAATCCTCGGGTAAATTAAAACACACAGTGAGGAAATAAAGGGCTGAAGACAGAGGCAAAATTCACTCCATATACATTTCAGCACTTTTTGAACAATCGTCTGCTGAATCCATGCCTATGTGTGTGAATATGCATGCGTGAATTACCATAAGCTCTGTTGCACCTTCACACTTGTTAAAAAACGTAGTGATTAAAAAAAGATAAACTGACTGGACACTGCGTGTTGCGTTTGGAGAAATTCCATAAAACTACAGTCTCTCGATATGAACAACTTCCAAATGTGGAAATAAAGTAAAATTTCATGGTTGAAAGCGAACTCTAGCGGCAATCGCAGCGGTGCGCTGTCCCTGGTCCTGGAACAGGAGTAAAGCCGTTTGCATTTTAGATTCCGTCACGTATCTTTAGTAACAGAGACTGATTTAGAAATCTCTCATTTTTCTCAGTAAGACGCGTGCAGCATAGATATAAGCGCTGCAATTAAGTTTTCTGGAAACTGATAAATTCAGATACTAGGTGGTCATTTTATCAAGGAGATAGCACTTGAAAGCAGATATATACATAACTACCGGTTTCAACGATACAATCGCTTTGGACGTCCTTCAGCCACATTTCTACAGATTATCCTATATGATAGCAGTCTGACAGCTGTAGTTATATGTAGTTTCTAAGAAACGTAATGTGCGTTCAACTTAAAATTCACGATTTCGCGATCTCTGAAATACGGATGTCCGTAAGTGTTACTAAGTATCTCTTGTTAACTATAATTGGGTAATGCAAACCTTAAGCAATACAGTAATAAGGCTATACAAGAAACCGGTATATTCAGACGGATTTAAGTCATGTATTGACATGTAATATTCAGATTCGCCAGACTTAATTTTAAGAGGAAACATCTGTATTTGCTGCGGCACGGGCGATATTTAGGATGACATGGCTCCGCTAACACGTTTCAGAATATATAAGCGCTTACCTGATATTAAGCGGGGAGCCTGCGGGTCCTTGATCTCTCCGCATCCAGATCTGGGGGATCTGAGTCGCTATGAACCTCAAGGCATTTTTCAGGAAGGGCAGCGAAATTTCTGTGGGAAAATCCAGGGTTTCTGTCGGCCCGACAATACAGAGAGCTGCAGCCCCTCACTGCGTCAAGCGCTAACCTCAAACATCCATTAAACAGAAGGTGATTAATTCAAGGCAAAGCCCTGATTGAAAGCTCGTTTGCTTCTCGCCGTTATGTATTCCGGTACAGACTCTGAGTCCAGAGTTACCAGCGATCAGCGGCAGGACTGGCTTTTCTAACATGCAGGCGGCGACATCACATTTTTAAACCATTGTCAACGATTTATTATTGGGGTTACGGAGCTGAATGTAGCTGCACGACATACGCATGTTGGTCCAGTTGCACTTTAAATTAAATCTCATAATCAGATTGGCTTGTGATTGTCGGGCTATAAATGGTGCGGGTCCAGCGCAGATCTATGCAAGGTAATTCCAAATCCCTCTGCTATAAGTACAGTATGCAACAAGAGACAAACCACATGTTTTAAAACGAATACATCCTTTAAAATCATGCTAAATCGACTTGCACTTATTTAGCGCCGCTGGCACGTCCATATGTGTGTGCATATTATACACCATCTGTATCAATTACACTTTGGATGCTGTTAAACAATCGTAGGCTGCACCGAAACGCAGAGATCAGAATAAGGTGGCAAACTGGTGTGGTTTCTGCATCCACACTAACGCGCGTCTGGTGTGCTTATGGAATACTTTACACACAAACTAACAGGTATACGGAGAAATATGTGGAGGCAAAGAAACTCCCCACTAAGTATGCAAATCTCATAAAGCGATCAAAATTAAAGAAATTAATAAGAATATTGGAGGCTTATGCCTACACTTTAAATCGACGAAAAATTGTGCTTACCTTTGTAAATCGAGTAGTTGCTAAGTTGTTAGGTAGTTGTAAGTTTTTTCTATTCCAGGTTATTTATTTTTAGCTATAGCGCTGTGTATATTATGCATTGCTACATACTATCCCAGGACTTAGACGAGCCCTATGAAGATTAGCTCTGCTGTTGTTCGTATGGTGCCGTTCATACGGTCTCATTTCAAGACGGGGAAACGTTAATAAAACTACTTACACCAATGTTTGTGCACGTGGTTTATAAAACAGTACTGACAAAACAGCCAATAATCCGGTATTCAACAGAGGACGTGGCGAGGCAGCTCCAACGGCATGGACTTCGTAACTCTTTAATTCCAAGTTGAACTATGCTACGTTATTTTGCTAAACCCAGTCACAGACGTTGTTAAGCTTGTTGGAACCACGTTGGAGATTATTACTGTCTTTACTACACAACGTTACACCTTTTAAGGTTATCCATCGTTTACAGATGGCGACAGTCAGTGAAGTGAGCTTTCTGTGATGTAAGCTTTTAAAAAGCAGAGAACTGCTCTTAGCCTGGTGCCACCCTGCGTCTGCTGATGGGAGGAGCCACCTCACCACATGGCACGCACGCACACACACACGCACGCACACACACGTGTACCGCTGCAGCACTCGGGTAGCAGAGATGTTGCTTGGCGTCCTGCGTCCATATGGAAAGCGTTCAGCTTACGCTGTCAAACGGTTGTGAACTCCGCAACCCCCCCCCCCAAAAAAAAACAGGAAAGTTCAGGTCCCATTCTTGTGCATTAGGCTACATACAAGCTACAATTGTAACAAATATCCCCTGTATACGTTGCCACGCTCGCCCAATTACTGATGCGGCGTTAATAGATATTAATTTCCGACTTCCGTTCAGTCCGACAGGGTGCTTTACATTACACATGCTTGCGGTCTAGTACGACTGATACCATTTTAGATACGGTAGGACTTTCTTGCATTCAGAAGCTCTCTCCAGAACAGTTTGCCGGGGTCTGATATGTTAATAATCGGAATTTGACGCTGGATTTTCACTGATTTTATAACATAGCCCTGGTAGCCTATTTGGCAGCTAAGCACCATAAAGCAACAATATACTGAACAAACAGCAAATCCTTCAAAGGAAAGAGGCACTTAGGGAAAGACATTTTTTTAAGTAATGCCCCCTGTTACGGGAAACAAACATTTTAATTCATGTGCAAACATAGAGCTAATTCCTTTTCAATAAGGGACATAAATGACTTTTTAAGACAGTTCCATTTGTGCACAAATCACAATTATTTATTGTCTAAATCTGAAACATTAAACTAAATGGACATATGCCTTCATATGCCCAATTCTATACAGAAGAGCGTATTGGCTGGTACCAAACATCATCTTTCACTTTTGCCAACTATCCTGAAATAACTTGTCACTGAAATAAGTCGCTGATTGTCTTTCATACTTTATTTTTCCCTATGTTTTTTTTTCTTTTTACAGTCAGTGTAACTAGATGAACTGAGTTGCAGCATGTAAAATGTCTCCAAGAAAGGTCCAATGCTGACTTTTAATATAAAGTATTTTTATGGGAGCAAAGTACCTGAAAATGTTGACCTTTACCTTTTTAAAAAGGCCTGGCATAAATATTGAAGCCATTTTTGACATTGAAGAGGGTAAATTTTTCAGCCATTAAGGGGGTTTATGGGGAATTAGTGGAGGACAGAACAGTGGGCTAAATGCTAAAGGTGATTTATTCAAATCCTTTATTTATTTTCTAAGCCTATTAGATGTGGAACAGAACAGGGAATGCTGGAATTACTGGGGGACCTTATTTTTCTAAAGGGGTGGGAGCACAATATGTGTCAGGTGATATGATGGAACTTCTTTGGAAGATGCTTTTGAACAGTATGTGACATGACATGTCGTTGATGTCGAAAAAATGAGTAAAACCAGCGGAGTCATAAGTCTATTGGAGAGAAAAGACTAAACTACGGTGTGTGTGATGGAATATGGGAGAAAGTGATTCATTTTTATCAGTTACATTCAAAGGTTGTCATCCCACAAAATCGTGAAATGCATGACTTGCCCCTTTACCATCAACAAGACTGTGCATGGTGAATGTACTGAATAGCAATGCCTGACATAGTAGAGAGAAATATGTTTTTCCACCTTGTCCTAAACTCTTCAGCTCCCTGGAACTGTGGTGGAACAGCAATGTCTGAAGAAATTCCAGCATTTCTGTCAGTGGTGGTTGGGTAGCAAAGGAACTTATCAAGTGCAATAGGATTTGATGAATGGGACGGAGTGTGGCTGACATAGACTTTACTGTTCATGAAAACATTCACCAATGAATTGTTGCTTCTGCTCGTAGGCATTGTCCAGCAGAGGAGGAATGTGATTACTGGCTTTGAATTTATTGCCATCTACTTTACCCTCTAAGAGGCTGAGTGGATCTAAATCATAGCAGGAAACTGCTTTCCACACCGTAACAGAGCTGCCAGGATCATTCTGTGTGTAAAAGGTTCAGTCGAGCTTGTAGGCCTCCTTTGGTATGTGCTGCATGTATGCTAGTCAGAATGTCAAGATTAGAGTGAGGAAAGACTCCATGTGCAACATCTGTCCTCAGTAGACCACTGCTTGTGTTTCTATCATCACTTCACATAAAAAGTGCATTTTTAGAAATACTGAACAAGTTGGAACTCTAACCAAAGGACAAGTCAGTAAGATCCCTTCTTTGAACTTTGGTGTCAAAGGTGTTGGTCTTCTAGACGTGCAGAGTTTTTTTCTGATGATCCTAAGCATAACAGGATACCATGTGCTCAATTTAGGAAACACTTTTACTTTCAATACTATATTATACATATTTTCTAATCTTGATCATGAGAACGTACATCATTATGGAAATTTCTTGTTCCTGCTATAATATTTATTTTTTATTCAGCAATTTTATATTCTTCGTTTGTGCTTTATTTTCTACAAAAGAAGCAATGCCAATTAAATGAGTATATTATCTAACACTGTCTTTGCAAGGAAGCCGGACCTCATAATTAAAATGTGTTTAAGGAAAAGGGTCCACTCAGCTGAGCCGCTGGGGTCTACAAAGCTAATAAATTATGTGAGTCCTTTGTCAGGTCTGAACGTCTAATTTTTCGAAGAAACATTTGAAGGAAGGAGTCGCCATGGTGACATGCAGACCCTGCCTCCGTATGGTTCCTATAGAATCTTTATATTAATGTGCATAATAAATCCGCATGGATCCTGACTGTAGGTTCGCAAAGGATCTGATTTCCAGACACTCTGCTTGTATTGATTGTGGATGAAAACCATAAATCGTACAGGCTAGAGTGTTGCAGGATCAGCCCTGGCTTGATGAAATCCCCACACAGCCAACAACTAGGTCACCTTTGGGGAAACACTGCCTCTTTTTCACAGAACCTACTCTTTGGCAGTCCCATTAATATAAAGCAGTACTTAATCTAAAACAGGACAACATTGCAGTCACTCCCAGGAGTGGAACCCACAGGTAGAATCCTTGAGTACAATTAATATGGACCAACACCTTTTATTTAACCTCATAGTTGCTTCCATACATGATTATATACTGCTACATAACAGGAGGACAACAGAGTCGGATGACACAACAATCACTGCAGACTAAAAGAAAAAAAAAATCAGAAAAAAATATTCAACACCATACCAAACTGCTATTTCTAGTCACATTCTATCATCTACTGCTAACACATCAGTTTAAGATCTACTCCTTACCTATTAATAACCTGCTACTAATCATTTGATTATACAGACTAGTATTAAATAAAAAAGATTGACTTATAGTAAAATTTAGAGAGGAATTACAAAAAATATTGTACTTCTGTCTCACAAGGTACTCGCTAAAGTGTTTGTAAATCATATGTGCCACTAGAAGCACATTAGGAAGAATACTTAGAAATGGACTATACTTCAGCCTTAATGGTTGCTTCTTAGTTATTAAATAACTGCTGCTAATCATTTGATAGTAAATAAAAAGTGAATTATAAATAAAAATATTCACTTTCGATTAAATATATAAATGTATTATAGAGATGTGTTACTCCTGTCTCAGATATAATGATATTGTTATTTAATAATTTCATGTATTGTATCACTTAAAAACCAGGATAGGGGTTAGAAGACAGATGGATGCATTATGTAAATAAGTTGATGTCATAAGGTAATTAAATAATAATCATATACCACAATTCATTCTGGAGTGGTTAATTTAAACATTATTTTAATAACTAATAATGACTAATAACCAATAATATTATAAGACCCATAAAACCATTAATCTTTCCCTAAATATCACCAGTTGAGCTCGCACACTCTCCCCATGTTCGCGTGGGTTTTGGCCGGGGGTTCCGGTTTCCTCCCACGGTCCAAAAGCATGCAGGATGGGTTGATTGGTGAGTCTAAATTGGCCCTGTAGTTGTGTGAGTGTGCATGTGCGTGTGAGTGTGTGTACCCTGCAGTGTGTTGCCAGCTGCCTAGGGTTGGTTCCTGCCTGCACCCATTGTTCCCGGGATAGGCTCCCCCCCCAGTTTTGAAAATGGATGGATGGATGGATGCATGGATATTCTACTTCATAGCATATCATATTACAGGTCACATGACTTGTTCTGTTACATGAGCGGTGTCATTGAAACAACAGGCAGCATAATTAGAAACATGGATATTTATAACAAAGCAGGTTCATAAGAAGGCTATTTGTATTCTAGAGGGAAAGGTTCAAGTAAAATATAATCAAATAACCTTGATCTTTTTTGTTTTTTAAATTGACAGAACATACAGTACAAAATTAGTTCCCTTTTAAGGTTTCAAACGAGCCAACAATGCATTTAATCACACAAGGAAATTTCCACAATCAAAATGCATGTTAAAAATAAGTTGTTAAATGGATAGCTTACTTCCTCATAACCAATGGCAAATAAACAATTATTGTGCTTCTGACCATACATCAGTATTACCTGGAAACTTGTTGCGCAGAATTAACATCAACCATAAACATCTAACGCCTCTACACAAAGAGTGATATATGAGGTGTTTCACATGTAGAATGCAATCGATACTTTCCAGTGCGATTCTTACAGAATGTTCTTGTGGAATGTTCTTGTGGAATATCTGTGATGCATTGTGACATAAACAGATTAACAACTCTGACGGAAGATTTTCTGTTGAAGTTACAGACACAAGTCAGTAGTGGTTGGAGTGACGATCCCTTTGGCTGCTGCTTCTGCCCAAAAGAGTTTTTATAAGCTCAAACAGGAGGGAAATATGCAATGAATTATGTAATGGTGTAATACTGTGCATTAAGGCAGAAAGGAGATTCAGCAGGGAGAAGATGGTTATTGGTTGCCATATAATTAACATTCCTCAACCTCAGACAGCATGACTTCCTTTATGAATTTGAATACGAAATGACAGTAAATGACAGTATTTCATGGTGGCATTATCATAATTTAAAACCTTCAA